ATCTGAAACAGAAGAGTAGTCAATGTTGAGAAAGGCATGTCAGGTTCTTAGCCTGTACTTCTTGCGCTAAATAGTGACCACCCCCACCCCCTGAGATCAAAACCATGCTCCAATCTGAGGGTATTTGCATTAATCACAGAGCCTACTCTATTTTTACAGAGCTATTTTACTAATTCCTCAAATATCATTTTCAACTATGTATCCATATCCATATCCTATATATACAATATTTAATTTTAGAATAAAATGGAAGTATTTAAGGACTCAAAATTCTCAAGCTCCATTGAAGCTAAATACCTTCTTTTTACCAGCAATCTAACTGATGAAAGGAATATTTTAATGAAGAATGTTCTTTACTAACTTGTACTGCACCTCAGACCATAGCCCTTGACATATGTGGCTAAAGTGATCAAGGTGAATCATGCTCATGTGTGCCACTCCAACCCATGCTGAGCTTTTCATCAAGTTTAACCTGCCCCAATCCCCTTGCATTCCGTGTATGCTTTACAATATCTACTGTGTGTGAAGAAATGCCTATGGTTGGGTAGCCCATTTATGCACAATAGTGTGGTAACTAGAGAAACTTGCTGTAGAGGTGGACAACAAGAGACAGAGGGACACCAACAGCACATCCAAGATGTACGTTGGCCAAGACAGGGATATCCTAAAGGAGAAAATAAGCCAGGGGAATCCTTATTTGCTACTCTTTTAAGGTCTTGTGTTTATGTGTCCAGTTTTAAAGCTTTTGTGAAAGACTGAAGCCCACAGTCAAGCAATGGCAAGGGAAGGTGGATGGGTGATGCCAAGAGCCAAGGTGAGGGCAGAAGCTTAAAAAGAACAAGATGGACCCAGGAAAGAGATGACTGATTAACCACTGTGTCATCTTGGCCTAGATTCTGGATTCCAAGCTCTAGGTAATGCTGACAGACGGCAAACAACACACACTGTAGAAGTGGGCGTATTGGTTTCGGTTCAAGGATGTCCCATCCATAGTCTCAGGTGTGAGTGACTATTTGGCTGTCAAGAGAATATAAGTCATGTATCACTCTACACTGAGGGGTCAGCTGCAAGACCACAGGATCCAGACAGAGCAAGTGATCTATGAAAGCTGGGTTGGTTTCAGGATGCTCAGAAGGTCTATAAACAACTGCACCACAATTAAATTCCATGATTTCTCATGGAATTCAAGGCTAACTGTAAGACAGATTAAAGTTGAAGATTCTGGCAGCTAGATAACAGAGTATTCACACAGTTGAATAAACACTGGTGAAACATAGCAATGACTGTGAGAGTACACTTACTAACATTTTCTATGAGACCAGTAGTAACCTGTTAACAAGGTCAGAAGATACTTCAGGAAAGTTGTAGACCAATATTGATAATGGATCTACATGAAAAAGTTCTTGAAAATATTGGGAATTGAGTCAGACAACACATTAAAATAATTACATATGATGATTAATTGGAATCTGTCCCACATTTGATTAATATAAGAAAATAAGCACTGTAATATACCAATTAATGTAAAAAAAAAGAAATAATAATCTAAATAGACACCTGAAACATACTAAACAGAGTCAAAGGCATTTAATGCTAAGAAAAAAACTCTACAAATCTAACATGAAACAGATATAGTTCAATATGTTAATATGATAATATACATTCCTAAAAAGAAAAAGTCAAAATGTCATACTTAGAGAAAAAACATCACACCACCTCAGAAAAAGGATAAACATAAATGTCCACTTTTACAAGTGGTATTCAAAATTGACTATGTGTTCTAACTACAGCAATCAGATTAACATTTTTTAAGGAAGAGGCTTCCGAAAAGAAATAAAAATTCCTCTAATCATAATTTAATTATCGTATCCATGATATATTCACAATATGCCATAAATAGCTAATAAATAGAAAAACGTTTTAGGCTACATTTCAACATGCTGAAATAACTTTTGGTACTGAACTCACTAACTATTCATTGCTAATCAGGAGGGTAAAGGGAAGGTGGGGGGAGAAAGGAGGAACCAATCACAATGATCTGCATCACCCCCAGGGGGATGGACAACAGAAAAGTGAGTGAAGGAAGACATCGGTCAGTGTAAGACATGAAAAAATAATAATAATTTACAAATTATCCAGGGTTCATGAGGGAGGGAGGGTTAGCAAGGGATGGGAAGAAAAATCAAAAGCTGATACCAAGGGCTCAAGTAGAAAGAAAATGTTTTGAGAATGATGATGACAACAAATGTAAAAATGTGCTTGACACAATGTATGGATGGATTATGAGTTGTAAAAGCCACAAAATGATTTAATTTGAAAAAAAAAGAAAGAAAATAAAGCATGATCAAAATTACAGCATTTATCTTTCAGAAAAGGAAGTGCAAAATTATTCAAATTAGAACCCTGAAACAGGGAATTTATTTCCACCCATATTAAAGTAATGGATTTAGAGTCCTATAGTGTTCTGTAGTGTTGAAAGTCCTCATATACTGATGAATTAGTGAACTAAAACAAGGAACTTCTGTGCACATATATTAGAGTGACT